TTCCCCCCCCCCTTTTTTTTTTTTTTTTCCCCCCTTTTTTTTTTTTTTCCCCCCCTTTTTTTTTTGGGGGGTTTTCCCCCCCCCCCCCCTTTTTTCCCCCCTTTTTTAAAAAAATTTTCCCCCTTTTTTTAAAAAAATTTTTCCCTTTTTTCATGGTTTTTTTTTTAAAAAAACCCCCCCCTTTTTTTTTTATTTTTTTTTTTTTTTTTTTTTTTTTTTTAAAAATTTTTTCCCCCCTTTTTCTTTTTTTTTTCCCCTTCCCTTTTTTTTTTTTTTTTCCCCCCCCTTTTTTTTTTTTTCTTCCCCCCCCCTTTTTTTTTTTTTCCCTTTCCCCCCCCGTTTTTTTTTCCCCCCCCCCCCCAAAAAAATTTTTTTTTTTTTCCCCCCCCCTTTTTTAAAAATTTTTTCTATCCATTTTTTTCCCCCTTTTTTTTTTTTTTTTCCCCCCCTTCTTTTTTTTTTTTTTTTTCCCCCCCCTTTTCTTTTTTTTTCTTCCCCCCTTTTTTTTTAAAACCCCCCCTTTTTTTTTTTTTTCCCCGCCCCCTTTTTTTTTTCCCCCCCTTTTTTAAAAAATTTTTCCCCCCCCCCCCAAAAAAAATTTTTTTTAAACCCCCGGGGGGGGGAAAAAAAAAAATTTTTTTTTTTTTAAAATTTTTAAAAATTTTTTCCCCCAAAAAACCCCCTTTTTTTTTTTTTTTTTTCCCCCCTTTTTTTTTTTTTAAAAATTTTCCCCCCTTTTTTTTTTTTTTCCCCTTTTTTCCCCATTTTTTCTTTTTTTCCCCCCTTTCCCCCAATTTTTTTTTTTCCCCCCCCCTTTTTTTTTTCCCCCCCCCCCCCTTTTATTTTTTTTTTAAAAACCCCCCCCCTTTTCTTTTATTTTTTTCTATTTTCCCCCCCATCTTTTTCCCTTTTTTTTTTTCCCCCCCCCCTTTTTTTTTTTTTTTTTTTTTCCCTTTTTTTTTTTTTTTTTCCCCCCCCTTTTTTTTTTTTTTTAAACCCCCCCTCTTTTCTATAGTGTTTTTAAACCCCCCCCCTTTTTTTTTTTTTTTTTTTTTTCCCCCCCCCTTTTTTTTTTTTTTTTTAAAAACCCCCCCCTTTTTTTTTTTTCCCCCCCCCTTTTTTTTTTTTTCCCCCCCCCCCTTTTTTTTTTTTTTTTCCCCTTTTTTTTTTTTTTCCCAACCCTTTCCCCCCTTTTTTTAAAAACCCCCCTTTTTTTTCCCTTTTTTTTTTTTTTTTTTCCCCCCTTTTTCTTTCTTTTTTCTTTTTTCCCTTTCCTTTTTTTTTTTTCCCTTTTTTTTTTTTTCCCCCAAGGTTTTTTTTTTTTTTCCCCCTTTTTTTTTTTTTTTTTCCCCCCCTTTTTTTTTTTTTCCCCCTTTTTTTTTTTTTTTTTTCCCCCCCCCCCCCTTTTTTCCTTTTTTTTTTTTCCCCCCCCCCCTTTTTTTTTTTTTTTTTTCCCCCCCCTTTTTTTTAATTTTTTTCCCCCCTTTTGGGGTTTTTTTTTTTTTTTTTTTTTTCCCCCTTTTTCTTTTTTTTTTTTCCCCCCCCCTTTTTTTTTCCCTTTTTTTTTTTCCCCCCTTCCCCCAATGTTTTTTTCCCCCCCTTTTTCTTTTTTTTTTTCAACCCCCCCTTTTTTTTTTCCCCCCCCCCTTTTTTTTTTTCCCTTTCTTTTTTTTTCCCCTTTTTTTTTTTCCCCCCCCTTTTTTAAAAAATTCCCAAAAAAAAAAAGGGGGGGGCCTTCCCCCTCTTTTTTTTTTTTTTTTCCCCCCCCCAATTTTTTTTTTTCCCCATTTTTTCCCCCCTTTTTTTAAATTTTTCTTTTTCCCCCTTTTTTTTTTCCCCCTTTTTTTCCCCGGTTTTTCTATTTTTTTTTCCCCCCCCCTTTTTTTTAATTTTTTTTTTTTTTTTTTTTAATTTTTTTTTTTTTTTTTTTCTTTTTTTTTTTTTTTTTTTTTAATTTTTTTCCCTTTAAAATTTTTTAAATTTTTTCCCCCCCCCCCAAATTTTTTTTTTTTTTTTCCCCCCCCCCCCCCCCCCCCTTTTTTTTTTTGGGTTTTTTTTTTTTTTTTTTTTTCCCCCCCCTTTTTTTTAATTTTTTTTTTTAAAAATTTTTTTTTTTAAATTTTTTTAAAATTTTTTTTTTCCCCCCCAATTTTTTTTTTCCCCCCTTCCCCCATTTTTTTTTTTCCCCCCCCTTTTTTTTTTTCCCCCCCCTTTTTTTTTTTTTTTTAATCCCCCCCCTTTTTTTTTTTTTTCCCCCCCCCTTTTTTTTAATTTTTTTTTTTTTCCCCCCCTTTTTTTTTTTTTTAATTTTTCCCCCCTTTTTTTTGGTTTTTTTTTCCCCCCCTTTTTTTTTGGTTTTTTTTTTCCCCCCCCCCTTTTTTTTTTTTCCCCCCCCCGGGTTTTTTAATTTTTTAAAAAAATTTTTTTTTATTTTTTTTTTTTCCCCCCCCTTTTTTAAAAAAAAAAAAGGGGAAAAAAAAAATTTTTTAAAAAATTTTTCCGGGGGTTTGGTTTCTTTTTTTTTAAAACCCTTTTGGGGGTTTTTTTTCCCCCTTTGGGAAATTTTAAAAAAACCCAAAAATTTTTTTTGGGGGGGGTTTTTTTTAAAAAAGTGTTGTCTAATTCGAACATTCCCCCCATCTCTTTCTATAGTGTTTTCTACATTCCCCCTCTTTCTATAGGTTTTCTATACTTCCCCCCCCATCTCTTTCTATAGTGTTTTCTATACATTCCCTCTGTCTCTTTCTATAGTGTTTTCTATACATTCCCCCCATCTCTTTCTATAGTGTTTTCTATACATTCCCTCTGTCTCTTTCTATAGTGTTTTCTATACATTCCCCCCCATCTCTTTCTATAGTGTTTTCTATACATTCCCCCCATCTCTTTCTATAGTGTTTTCTATACATTCCCCCCCTTCTCTTTCTATAGTGTTTTTATACATTCCCCCCTCTCTTTCTATAGTGTTTTCTATACATTCCCCCCCATCTCTTTCTAAGTGTTTTTTACATTCCCTCTGTCTCTTTCTATAGTGTTTCTATACATTCCCCCCCTCTCTTTCTATAGTTTTCTATATTCCCCCACTCTTTCTATAGTGTTTTCTATACATCCCTTTCTATAGTGTTTTCTATACATTCCCCCCATCTCTTTCTATAGTGTTTTCTATACATTCCCCCCCTCTGCTCTTTCTATAGTGTTTTCTATTACATTCCATGCTGCTCTTTCTAGTGTTTTCTATACATTCCCCCCCATCTCTTTCTATAGTGTTTTCTATACATTCCCCCCCATCTCTTTCTATAGTGTTTTCTATACATTCCCCCCATCTCTTTCTATAGTGTTTTCTATACATTCCCCCCATCTCTTTCTATAGTGTTTTCTATACATTCCCCCCATCTCTTTCTATAGTGTTTTCTATACATTCCCCCCCATCTCTTTCTATAGTGTTTTCTATACATTCCCTCTGTCTCTTTCTATAGTGTTTTTTATACATTCCCCCCCATCTCTTTCTATAGTGTTTTCTATACATTCCCTCTGTCTCTTTCTATAGTGTTTTTTATACATTCCCCCCCATCTCTTTCTATAGTGTTTTCTATACATTCCCTCTGTCTCTTTCTATAGTGTTTTCTATACATTCCCTCTGTCTCTTTCTATAGTGTTTTCTATACATTCCCCCCAACTCTCCTCTGATAGCTGCACCTGTAATTGACCCTGCCATGAGTTCCTATGATTATCTAAAGATAATATTTGCACGTTAAGGATATTGTGACAATATATTTTTTGTAACAATCCTTTTTTGACAATGAATTGCCTTACTTTAAGGTACACTCTTAGAAAAAATGGTTCCAAAAGGGTTCTTCAGCTGTCCCCATAGGATAACTATTTTGGTTCCATGTAGAACACTCTGTGGAAAGGGTCCTACATGGAACCCAAAAAGGTTCTAACTGGAACCAAAAGGGGTTCTTTAAAAGGGTTCTCCTTTGGGGACAGCCGAAGAATCCTTTTAGGTACTAGATAGCACCTTTTTTTCTAAGAGTACCTATAAAAATGTGTATTGGATATAATTAATTCCTCCTGGATTTCTTGAAATGATTTAAGAATTGAGCCTTTGAACAGTTGAGAGACTACAAACATTCCACAGGCCACAATCAACAGCCTGATCAACTCTATGAGTAGGAGATGTGTTGCGCTGCATGAGGCCAATGGTGGTCACACCAGATACTGACTGGTTTTCTGATCCACACCCCTACCTTTTCTTAAGGTGTCTGTGCCCAACCGATGCATATCTGTATTCCCAGTCATGTGGAATCCATAGATTAGGGCCTAATTAATTAAAATTCACCGATTTCCATTTATGAACTGTAACTTAGTAACATTTTTGAAATTATTGCATTATCTGATAATGTCCATTATCTGCTACCTGGACTATAGACTGGCTTTATCAGGCGGGGGATTCTGGCTGTTTCTGATTCTGTTGATGTTTCATAAGGTCCATTATCCGCTACCTGGACTATAGACTGGCTTTATCAGGCGGGGGATTCTGTTGATGTTTCAGCTAAACCCGGCGTTATTATGTCCCACTGAAGGACGAGAGTTCTAGAACTAAAAGCTTTTGGGTCAGAGAAAAAGCTTCACGGCAGGTCAGAACAGTTATTCGTCTGCTACGGGACTCAGGCAGTGGGCCGAGCCCTTTCCAAACAACAACTAGCACACTGGTTAGCGGAGGCTACCTTCTGGCTTATTCTGCAGCACACAGACAGCCCCCAGAAGGGCTAAGTGGCCTGTCTGCCCTCATCACCTGCTTCCTGTCTGCCCTCATCACCTGCTTCCTGTCTGCCCTCATCACCTGCTTCCTGTCTGCCCTCATCACCTGCTTCCTGTCTGCCCTCATCACCTGCTTCCTGTCTGCCCTCATCACCTGCTTCCTGTCTGCCCTCATCACCTGCTTCCTGTCTGCCCTCATCACCTGCTGCCTGTCTGCCCTCATCACCTGCTTCCTGTCTGCCCTAATCACCTGCTGCCTGTCTGCCCCTCATCACCTGCTTCCTGTCTGCCCTCATCACCTGCTGCCCGTCTGCCCTCATCACCTGCTGCCTGTCTGCCCTCATCACCTGCTGCCTGTCTGCCCTCATCACCTGCTTCCTGTCTGCCCTCATCACCTGCTGCCCGTCTGCCCTCATCACCTGCTGCCCGTCTGCCCTCATCACCTGCTGCCTGTCTGCCCTCATCACCTGCTGCCTGTCTGCCCTCATCACCTGCTTCCTGTCTGCCCTCATCACCTGCTGCCTGTCTGCCCTCATCACCTGCTTCCTGTCTGCCCTCATCACCTGCTTCCTGTCTGCCTTCATCACCTGCTTCCTGTCTGCCCTCATCACCTGCAGCCTGTCTGCCTTCATCACCTGCTGCCTGTCTGCCCTCATCACCTGCTTCCTGTCTGCCCTCATCACCTGCTGCCTGTCTGCCCTTCATCACCTGCTTCCTGTCTGCCCTCATCACCTTCCCTGTCTGCCCTCATCACCTGCTGCCTGTCTGCCCTCAATCACCTGCTTCCTGTCTGCCCTCATCACCTGCGTTCCCTGTCTGCCCTCATCACCTGCTTCCTGTCTGCCCTCATCACCTGCTTCCTGTCTGCCCTCATCACCTGCTTCCTGTCTGCCCTCATCACCTGCTGCCTGTCTGCCCTCATCACCTGCTTCCTGTCTGCCCTCATCACCTGCTTCCTGTCTGCCCTCATCACCTGCTGCCTGTCTGCCCTCATCACCTGCTTCCTGTCTGCCCTCATCACCTGCTTCCTTCTGCCCTCATCACCTGCTTCCCGTCTGCCCTCATCACCTGCTTCCCGTCTGCCCTCATCACCTGCTTCCTGTCTGCCCTCATCACCTGCTTCCTGTCTGCCCTCATCACCTGCTTCCTGTCTGCCCTCATCACCTGCTTCCTGTCTGCCCTCATCACCTGCTTCTTCTGCCCTCATCACCTGCTCCTGTCCTTCTGCCCTCATCACCTGCTTCCTGTCTGCCCTCATCACCTGCTTCCTGTCTGCCCTCATCACCTGCTTCCTGTCTGTCCTCACCAGGCTGTGTTTGCCGGACACGTCCTTCCTACTGCTGAGCAGAACTGTGCTGAGCAGAACTGTGCTGAGCAGAACTGTGCTGAGCAGAACTGTGCTGAGCAGAACTGTGCTGAGCAGAACTGTGCTGAGCAGAACTGTGCTGTTAATATTAATTGTGCTCGTCAGATCTTGTCCAGTCCATTTAGTCTCAGAGATCATTTGGTCTCCTCTCATTTTAGTTTAATTGGTTTCCTCTGGCTCTATTTAGTCAGTTATATTCTCATCACATGCCACTGAAAAATAAGCGTTTGATGAATATTTGTCACTATTTTTGTAGATGAAATGAACACTGGTGTGTTCCTCCCTACTCACCATGCCGAGCCGTGTGGCTCCCAGGGCCCCAGACAGACCCAACAGAACTCAGCTTGACAGTTCTGGTTCCGACAGACCATGTGGTTACAGCCGCCGTTCTTCTCAATGGTCACATGACACTTTGGACACTCCTGTGGAAAAAAGTGTGAGGAGGACAGTGAACCCCCCTAGTGCAGCGCAGCCAATACCAAGGTATGAAAACCTCGATCTAGATCACATTGACCTGGGCCCGTATTCATACTGCTGATCTAGGACCAGCCCTTAGCCTTCACTACAATCTAAAAGGTATTCACACTGCTGATCTAGGACCAGCCCTTAGCCTTCACTACAATCTAAAAGGTATTCACACTGCTGATCTAGGACCAGCCCTTAGCCTTCACTACAATCTAAAAGGCTAAACGTGTTCCCAGATGAGGACTCCTACTCCGAGAAGCTTTATGACTACGGCCTCTGATGTCATGTAGAGAGCTGAGTTCTGTAGATCTCATAGCATTAAAACCATACCTTGGTATTATGTTATGTAGCATTATAACCATACCTTGGTATTCTGTTATGTAGCATTAAAACCATACCTTTGGTATTATGTTATGTAGCATTATAACCATACCTTGGTATTATGTTATGTAGCATTATAACCATACCTTGGTATTATGTTATGTAGCATTATAACCATACCTTTGGTATTATGTTATGTAGCATTATAACCATACCTTGGTATTCTGTTATGTAGCATTAAAACCATACCTTTGGTATTATGGTTATGTAGCATTATAACCATACCTTGGTATTATTATTGTAGCATTATAACCATACCTTGGTATTATGTTAGGTAGCTTATAAACCATACCTTGGTATTCTGTTTATGTACCATTATAACCATACCTTGGTTATTCTGTTATGTAGCATTATAACCATACCTTGGCATTCTGTTATGTAGCATTAAAACCATACCTTGGTATTCTGTTATGTAGCATTAAAACCATACCTTGGTATTCTGTTATGTAGCATTATAATCATACCTTGGTATTCTGTTATGTAGCATTATAACCATACCTTGGTATTCTGTTATGTAGCATTATAACCAACCTTGTATTCGGTTATGTAGTCGTTAAAACCATACCTTGGTATTCTGTTATGTAGCATTATAACCATACCTTGGTATTCTGTTATGTAGCATTATAACCATACCTTGGTATTATGTTATGTAGCATTATAACCATACATTGGTATTATGTTATGTAGCATTATAACCATACCTTGGTATTCTGTTATGTAGCATTATAACCATACCTTGGTATTCTGTTATGTAGCATTATAACATACCTTTATTTTTAGTCATTAAGACATACCTTGTTTTATGTCATGAGCATTTAAAACATCCGGGTCGAACATTATAACCCATAGCGTTGGTAAACGCCATTGGATGCTTCAACTGCATCTACACCCTGTCTCCCTTCCCACCACGCGGCACGAGGTTTGGACCCAATTTGCGCACGCCTTGGGGCTTACTCAGGTCGAGGCCGGACTCAGAAGAGCCATGGAGACCAGGCATACTCTGTGCGCCAGGGACGGACATGCAGTGCCAGCCCATTTGCTGCCAGCAGGACGTACTACATTGCTGCTCTGTTGCTGCAGCATATAAGCAGTCACCATGGTTTGCTGCCGACCGTGGACTGAGCAGTCACAGCCACTCTTCTGCTCCTCAGCCACTGCGAGCAGCCAGCCCAGCGGTTATTTGCTATAAGAACGAATGATAGTCCACCAGCCTTTGCGGCGTAGGAACTCGAGTGCAGATGTCCAGCCAGTCTGTGAGCCAATGGGACCAGAGGCCACCACTCTGTTGCTGCCAGCAGGACGGACTGAGCAGTGCCAGCCCAGCTCTGTTGCTGCCAGCAGGACGGACTGAGCAGTGCCAGCCCAGCTCTGTTGCTACCAGAAACAATAAGAAGCCAGGTCTCTAGAGACTTTCCCCAGAGTTAGTGGGAAGATCTGGTGACAGGCAGTCTGCCCTTCTCTCTGGCTGTTTATTCAAACATACCTTACACTTGACAGGATCGTGCCAGTTCTCCCCACAGTTGAAACTAGAATGAAAAACACACCGCAGTACGTTACAATACAATAAAACACACCGCAGTACATTACAATACAATAAAACACATCACAGTAAGTTAACATACAACACATTACACAGTAGGCTACCTATCTTTTCTAGAATATTCCACATTTAGTCATCATCTGGCCGTCATTTGGCCATCATTTAGTTGAAGTTTCAACTTTATTTGTCCCAGAGGGCAATTGGTTAAGCAGCAGTGTTAGTACGATACATAAAAAACATACAGTCCACATGGACACAAAGATACACAATGACAGTGAATCCAATGTCCTAGAAGGTGTACTGTCCCGGACACCAGATAGGTCCAGTGTTGTTTTACAGGGTCAGCCATAGTAGTATGATAGGTGTTGTTTTACAGGGTCAGCCATAGTAGTATGATAGGTGTTGTTTTACAGGGTCAGCCATAGTAGTATGATGGTGTTGTTTTACAGGGTCAGCCATAGTAGTATGATAGGTGTTGTTTTACAGGGTCAGCCATAGTAGTATGATAGGTGTTGTTTTACAGGGTCAGCCATAGTAGTATGATAGGTGTTGTTTTACAGGGTCAGCCATAGTAGTATGAGGGTTTAAGTCGCAGTAGTATGATGGTTTTTACAGGGTCAGCCATAGTAGTATGATAGGTGTTGTTTTACAGGGTCAGCCATAGTAGTATGATATGGTGTTGTTTTACAGGGTCAGCCATAGTAGTATGATAGGTGTTGTTTTACAGGGTCAGCCATAGTAGTATGATAGGTGTTGTTTTACAGGGTCAGCCATAGTAGTATGATAGGTGTTGTTTTACAGGGTCAGCCATAGTAGTATGATAGGTGTTGTTTTACAGGGTCAGCCATAGTAGTATGATAGGTGTTGTTTTACAGGGTCAGCCATAGTAGTATGATAGGTGTTGTTTTACAGGGTCAGCCATAGTAGTATGATAGGTGTTGTTTTACATTAGGGTTAAGTGCCTTGCTCAAGGGCACAACGACAGATCAACAGATTGACAGTACTTCGGTCATGGGCTGACAGCCATCAATACAGATCTAGACAACATTAGCTCAGCAGCAGCACACAGGAAATAGTACTGAGTTACCTAATAATGACATGTTCATTTAGGAGAGTTGTCTTACCAGAACATTCGACCACACTTGCACCTGACAGGCTTGGCATCGGGGTAGTGGACTTTGACAACGTGATGGCAGTCTGGTGCAGGACACCACTTCAACTGTCTATTACACTGGAGAAAGAGACAACAGCAACACCAATTCAGTACCTGGTCCCAGATATGCTTGTGCTCTTGCCAGTTAGCAAGAGAGCAGAGACAGACTGGCAACCAGGCTACCAATACAGTCAGTCAGTCAAAACAACCAGGCTACCAATACAGTTCAGTCAGTCAGTCAAAACAACCAGGCTACCAATACAGGCAGTCAGTCAGAAAACAACCAGGCTACCAATACAGTCCAGTCCAGTCAAAACAACCAGGCTACCAATACAGTCAGTCAGTCAGTCAGTCAGTCAAAACAACCAGGCTACCAATACAGTCAGTCAGTCAGTCAAAACAACCAGGCTACCAATACAGTCAGTCAGTCAGTCAGTCAGTCAAAACAACCAGGCTACCAATACAGTCAGTCAGTCAGTAGTCAGTCAAAACAACCAGGCTACCAATACAGCAGTCAGTCAGTCAGTCAATCAAAACAACCAGGCTACCAATACAGTCAGTCAGCAGTCAGTCAAAAACAACCAGGCTACCAATACAGTCAGTCAGTCAGTCAGTCAATCAAAACAACAGGCTACAAATACAGGTCAGTCAGTCAGTCAGTCAGTCAAAACAACCAGGCTACCAATACAGTCAGTCAGTCAGTCAAAACAACCAGGCTACCAATACAGTCAGTCAGAGTCAGTCAGCAAAAACCAGGCTACCAATCAGTCAGTCAGTCAGTCAGTCAGTCAAAAACAACCAGGCTACCAATACAGTCAGTCAGTCAGTCGTCAATAAAAAACAGGCTACCAATACAGTCAGTCAGAGCAGTCAAACAGTACATACAGTCAGTCAGTCAAAACAACCAGGCTACCAATACAGTCAGTCAGTCAGTCAGTCAGTCAAAACAACCAGGCTACCAATACAGTCAGTCAGTCAGTCAGTCAGTCAAAACAACCAGGCTACCAATACAGTCAGTCAGTCAGTCAGTCAGTCAAAACAACCAGGCTACCAATACAGTCAGTCAGTCAAAACAACCAGGCTACCAATACAGTCAGTCAGTCAGTCAAAACAACCAGGCTACCAATACAGTCAGTCAGTCAGTCAGTCAAAACAACCAGGCTACCAATACAGTCAGTCAGTCAGTCAGTCAGCAAAACAACAGGCTACCAATACAGTCAGTCAGTCAGTCGTCAGTCAAAACAACCAGGCTACCAATACAGTCAGTCAGTCAGTCAGTCAAAACAACCAGGCTACCAATACAGTCAGTCAGTCAGTCAGTCAAAACAAACAGGCTACAATACAGTCAGTCAGTCAGCGTCAGTCAAAACAACCAGGCTACCAATACAGTCAGTCAGTCAGTCAGTCAAAACAACCAGGCTACCAATACAGTCAGTCAGTCAGTCAGTCAAAACAACCAGGCTACCAATACAGTCCAGTCAGTCAGTCAGTCAAAACAACCAGGCTACCAATACAGTCAGTCAGTCAGTCAGTCAAAACAACCAGGCTACCAATACAGTCAGTCAGTCAGTCAGTCAGTCAAAAACCAGGCTACCAATACAGTCAGTCAGTCAGTCAGTCAAAACAACCAGGCTACCAATACAGTCAGTCAGTCAGTCAAAACAACCAGGCTACCAATACAGTCAGTCAGTCAGTCAGTCAAAACAACCAGGCTACCAATACAGTCAGTCAGTCAAAACAACCAGGCTACCAATACAGTCAGTCAGTCAAAACAACCAGGCTACCAATACAGTCAGTCAATCAAAACAACCAGGCTACCAATACAGTCAGTCAGTCAGTCAAAACAACCAGGCTACCAATACAGTCAGTCAGTCAGTCAGTCATCAAAACAACCAGGCTACCAATACAGTCAGTCTCAGTCAGTCAGTCAAAACAACCAGGCTACCAATACAGTCAGTCAGTCAGTCAAAACAACCAGGCTACCAATACAGTCAGTCAGTCAGTCAAAACAACCAGGCTACCAATACAGTCAGTCTCAAACAACAGCTACATACGTCAGCAGTCATCAGTCAAAACAACCAGGCTACCAATACAGTCAGTCAGTCAGTCAAAAACAACCAGGCTACCAATACAGTCAGTCAGTCAGTCAGTCAGTCAAAACAACCAGGCTACCAATACAGTCAGTCAGTCAAAAAAACCAGGTACATACGCAGTCATCAGTCAAAACAACCAGGCTACCAATACAGTCAGTCAGTCAGTCAGTCAAAACAACCAGGCTACCAATACAGTCATCGAAAACAACAGGCTACATACAGTCAGTCAGTCAGTCAAAACAACCAGGCTACCAATACAGTCAGTCAGTCAGTCAGTCAAAACAACCAGGCTACCAATACAGTCAGTCAGTCAGTCAAAACAACCAGGCTACCAATACAGTCAGTCAGTCAGTCAAAACAACCAGGCTACCAATACAGTCAGTCAGTCAGTCAGTCAGTCAAAACAACCAGGCTACCAATACAGGTCAGTCAGTCAGTCAGTCAAAACAACCAGGCTACCAATACAGTCAGTCAGTCAGTCAGTCAAAACAACCAGGCTACCAATACAGTCAGTCAGTCAGTCAGTCAAAACAACCAGGCTACCAATACAGTCAGTCAGTCAGTCAGTCAGTCAAAACAACCAGGCTACCAATACAGTCAGTCAGTCAGTCAGTCAGTCAAAACAACCAGGCTACCAATACAGTCAGTCAGTCAGTCAGTCAAAACAACCAGGCTACCAATACAGTCAGTCAGTCAGTCAGTCAAAACAACCAGGCTACCAATACAGTCAGTCAGTCAGTCAAAACAACCAGGCTACCAATACAGTCAGTCAAAACAACCAGGTACCAATCAGTCAATCAGTCAAAAACAACCAGGCTACCAATACAGTCAGTCAGTCAGTCAGTCAGTCAAAACAACCAGGCTACCAATACAGTCAGTCAGTCAAAACAACCAGGCTACCAATACAGTCAGTCAGTCAGCTCAGTCATCAGTCAAAAACAACCAGGCTACCAATACAGTCAGTCAGTCAGTCAAAACAACCAGGCTACCAATACATCAGTCAGTCAGTCAGTCAAAACACCAGGGTACAATCAGTCAGGTCAAAAAACAACCAGGCTACCAATACAGTCAGTCAGTCAAGTCAAAACAACCAGGCTACCAATACAGTCAGTCAGTCAGTCAGCAGTCAAAACAACCAGGCTACAAACAGTCAGTCAGTCAGTCAGTCAAAACAACCAGGCTACCAATACAGTCAGTCAGTCAGTCAGTCAGTCAAAACAACCAGGCTACCAATCAGTCAGTCAGTCAGT